GTAGTTTAGTGCCTAACGATATAGCCTAAGTTATGGACACAAAGAAAAGTGAAAAAAAGTGAAAGGAACAGAAGAAAGAGCACTTGGTTCTGCGCGTACAAGTCTTGTGCACTATAATATCTCAAATTTAGGCTAGTCTAAGTGAGATTGGCCGCCGTGGCCGAAATTTACTCCCGAATCTACTATACTAAATCTAAAAACCGACATCTAACTAATTTAAATATCTGTTTACAAATTTTTTTTATAGTTATATTGATACTAACATTTCCCTGTGGCATTTATGTACAATGTGCTCCGCATCTAAGTTTCATATAATCCCATATTTTTCGTATGAGATGCACTGCCTTACAATGTGAATTAGAATAGTCGTCATTTTTAATTAGAAAGATATTTCTAACTAGTTTTTGTCCTCGACTTCGCTCGTGTGGTAACTGGGATAGGGATACAATGTAGCCCATATCCATCCTCAGGATACAATCTATGTCTTAACAAAATGTTATTGAAACCAGTTTAGTGGATTAAGCATGAAAAAGTAACAAACAGGCTACTTATATACACATAATATTAGTATGGAATTTGAGCACTGTCCCATTAAAAATAATAGATTATCATAAAAAACTAACTTTTTTCAAGGCACTAGGGGTTAAATTCTCAAAAAAAACTTGTTTTACTTACTCCATACCTACTTCTTATAAAGAATCCAAAGTGTTTCTAGTTTGCAGCATTTAGACTTTCTAAGATATCATAATTTATGAGTGAGAGGATTTCTATTTTATATTGAAAGGTAAATTCTTTTATTACTATTCTCCAACGTTTATTTAATTTTAAGTGATTTTATCAGTTATTTAGTTTTATCTCAGCACTGAGAATGATTTATGGGTAAATTCTTAAATAATTTAGCTGGCACTAAAGAAAGTAGTGGTAATCTTAAAGTACTTAAGTCGACGATCTGTCATATTATGTTAAACGAGTATTTAATCATACAGTAGTTATATCGAATAAAACTGCTTTGGTGGTCTAGTGGCTGGCATCATGAACGAATTAACCACTTCGTTCATGGCTAGCATGTACATATGTCTGTAAGTCCGAAGTATCTGGGTTTGAGTCCTGCGTCGGACCAAGTTTAGTTATCGAGTTTTTCTGTTAAGAAATTCTCAGTAAATAGAAAAAACGGAGTTGAGAAATTGGCGGTGTTTGACTCCCGTGGCTTGGAGAGCCCGTAAAGTCGTCAGTAATGCGCCTTAACTATCGCCGGTTATGTTGAAATATCATCCCATCATTATTATAGAAAAATAAAAAGAATAGAGAGTGCATTTACATACCTATGTCTACATTTACACTTATGCTCTAAAATCTTCTGCACACATGGCTAGTCTCGGTAAGATTGGCCTCCGTGGCCGAAATTCGTCAGGAAAACATTATTAGATACATACATCAAGTAGCTTACAAGCAGTTGCTGGTGGTAGTGGGTTAGATCCCTAGATAAAATTGATATTTGTATGGATAATACAAATATTAGTAATTTTTTTTAAGTAAACCTGTTCTTAGAAATCGACATTTGATATATAGTTACTAGTAGTATCTAATATATTTTATTACTATAAAGTATAGTAGGAACGAAGTATTAGAGAACGTAATCATTCTGGCAGCACCAGTTGGCGCCACTGGCGAGCAAAATCCTATCGCTGTCGTTAAAAAAGTATTTGTTAGTGCGGTAGGGCCAATAGATTTAATATAATAATAATTGTTAGCGCGATACCTGTTTATCTGAATTTTGTTTCAAATATTTAATATAAATTATAATATAAGAACCAAATAGATAAAATATTGACTTTTTCTTAGCTCTTCCTTTAAAGCAATAATATTTGTTGAGCTGTACTGTGTCTACCATAGTTAATCAGGAATTGCGGGATGTTTACAATAATCATGAATAACTAGTGAAGTTCTACGATGAAAAGCTCGCAATCAGTAAACATTTCGTGTCAAATGACATTTCTACAGACCATATTCTACACTAGCGCCTCTCGCGGCGAATTCAAGTGCAGTAGCCCTCATTCTTTGGAAATTTAAACAAAAATTTAATGACCCTTGTAAAGCCATGTTTAGTATATTTAAATAGTCGATCTATTTATTGTAAGATATTAAAATTTTAACTATCAAAACAGTAGAAATATTCTTAGACATATCATTGTATTGTATTGATATTATAATTGACGACACGTTTGGCTCAGTTTGTAGTGACCCTACGTGCTGCGCCAGCAGTCGCGGGTTCGAGTCCCGCTGGGGGCATTCGTTAGTGTGATGAGCACGAATGTTTGTACTCCAGTCATGGGTGTTTATATTTATAATATGTATGTATTTAAAGTTATATATGTATAATGTATCAACTATCTGGTATCCATAACACAAGCCTCGTAGCTTACCATGGAACTAGATGGCGTTGTGTGTTAATGTCCTGACATATTTATTTATTTATTATTACGTCATAAATTAGTTTTCGTCCAAAAGTTTAAAAAGAGATGCTGTTTGATAAATATTTTTTTTAAAATAGCGTATAACATTTAGAGATTATGTTGCTTTTTATAAGTATTTTTTATAAGTAAAAGAATTTTTAGAATCACTTTAAGAATTTTAGGGATTCATAAGATTGTTTGGGATTTAACAAAAATTTTCTGTTTTCATTTCATTTGTTTGTTTCAAATATTTCGAGGTCTAATGATGTTGACTGTGGGCTTATGAAAGTTAAACGGTCGGGCAGTAAGTAACAATTATAAATAAGGCTGGAAATGTTTTAATTTTATTTTAATCATAAAAAAATAGTGTTATTTTAACACCGCCATTTTTAAAAGAATATAAAAATTATAAGCTATGCCCATGTCTTAGTTTTAGTGAGCTGTAAAGTAAACTATTTTTTCTCTTTTCTACACTCATTCTCCATAGCTGCGAGCAAAAAGAAAAAATTACAAATACACGTTATTATTCATTAAATTACTAAAAATCGTCATGTAATTATGTAATGGCAACTACAGCCATAAATTAATGTATCTATAGTTGTGCCACTACTCATCTTGTACAATGTGAGTCCATTTGTGTAATGCATTTGCCACTTGATGTTACTTTACAAAAGTATGTTAAAATAGTTTTGGCCTAGATTTTTTGACGAAATGTAACCTAACCTGTGTCTGTTTCTATGATACAACTTATTGTGCGATTTTTTTTTCAACATTACAATTTGCCTTACGGTGAAGAGAAACATCGTGAAAAAATCAGCATGTTTGAGAGAATTTAGAAGTCATTACGTTTTTTAAAGTCCACCTATCCGCACTTTCCAGTGCATTATGGCTTGATCCGTCTCGTATTGAAGGGAGGCCCAGCAGTGGGACGTTAAACAAAGTCATATATTCCATTAAATGTAACTATTCTATTCTCTAATTTATCAAGTGAGATATACTTGTGTAAGAATGAATCTAGATATAATGGTTTTATTTTCGCAATGCTCTCAAACCAATAGTCGAGCATAATCTGACTGAGACATTCTAATTAAATTATCTCTACATTAAGACAGTAAACGGAAACCTTTATTCATTTAGATATTAGCGATATTATAAAGTGGCTTAAAATTTGGTCCTTAATGTAAATAAAACTTGTTCAATTTATATATAACGTGGTTTAGCTTTGTAGTAGATGGAAGGTAAGATTGAAAACCGGTTGTCAAAAGGAAAATATAAAATAAGTAGAATTTGATGAAGGACAGTTTAAATAAAACTATCTTTTCCTGGAGATACCCCTCTCCTGTGACCATGATTGCTTTAAAACATTCGGAATACCAGGAAACAAAAATCAAAATAAATCTGCGAAAAAATCCGAAAAGGTATTAGTTTTATTTAATAAGTCAATTGATTAAGTTTTGAAAGTTAAAATTGGGCAATGTTTCGTCTCCGTGCCTCGAAAATCACACAGGATTTTGTCTTTGTTACATATCCAGAAAAGTTTGTGAGGCTTGCTAACAAACCTTTAGCGTGCATCTTTTCAATCTAGCCGCTAAATGGGATTCGGGCTAAGATAGAAATGAAACAAACAGTTCGCTTGTAATTTCGCACATACTACGTTTTTTCCATTATAATAATTCGCATGTAGGGACTGAGATGTAAATAAGGCTAAAAAGTTTTAGTAAAGCCACAAGTAAGTAAGAAATTTGCTCACAGGGATGTCACTATTGATGTTGTCAAAATTGGTTGACATGATTTGCATCTCAGATTTTTTTTTCTTTCTCTCATTTTTAGGTTAGTGAATTTATCCACACTTAATATTATTTACCAGCGACTAACCATTACTGCGCTCGGGTTCGTTCCTAATACGTACGTTTTTACCGTTAGTATAGATTTCTCAGAAATTAGATATTTTCCTGCAGTAAAAAGTACCCTATACAGGGTGTCCCAGAACTCAACGTCAAACCGAAACGGGGCGACAGGATTGATTGTAACCATCATGAAAAAAATCAGAAAAAAAATCTATCCCATGCAGTTTGAAAATTATGGGCATTTAAGAAAAACCAAAAAATTTGGTCACACTGTAATCATTTTTCGGTTATTGTGGTTAATTTTTATTATTTTTGTTCATTTAAACTTTGGAACCGTAACCCTAAATAACATTTCTAGAATCACAGTCAAAAATAATGACACAATTGCCCCAAGTTTCCTGGAATTAAGACTATTTGTTAAACTATGAATTTAAAATTTTCAAAATTTGTCAACTTTGAAAGGTCCTCCTTTAAAAAAAATGTATTAGAGCGCCTTGGCAAGTGCCGTTAAAAGTTAGCGCATTTAATCAGGATTGTAAAATGGTACAATACTTGTTAGTTTCATACTAAAAAAAACGAGTAAAAAAATAAAAACCCAAACTCCAAACTCAAGTAACCCGATTTTTGCTAACCCATTTTACTCAGTTAAAATGTTTTTTATTCGCACAAGCTCTTGGTAGGTTCTTAATTTTACGGCAAAATGATGAGAGAGATGGGTAGTGGACATGTTTGCCATGAGCGAGCGAGACAGATAGTGACGCCACTTTTACCAAAGTCAACAAAAGTAAGTAAAATTAATAAAATAATGAAAAATCTTGACCTAGTTTAGTTTAGGTTTATTGAAATAATAAAAGTCAGATAGGGAAATAACATTTTTTATTACAACAAATGTTCAAATTGTTTACCATCAGCTTCAATACACGCCTTACATCTTAAAAACGATCTACTTATTAGCCTGGCATATCCTCGAGAGTTGATGTCCTCAGCAGCTTGAGAAATTCGTTCACGCAGGTCGGCTACGCTCTCAATGGGCTTTGAATAAACTGTTTCTTTGAGAATGCCCCAATAAAAAAAGTCCAGGGGATTTAAATCTGGGGAACGGGCTGGCCACGAGATAGTGCCTGAACGACCAATCCACCTTCCCGGATATTGATGGTCAAGGCAATGTCTTACTTGCACTGCGTAATGCGCTGGGCAGCCATCTTGTTGATACCACATGTGACGACGATCTGCTAGTGGTACGTCCTCTAATAAGGTTGATTGAACGGTGCACATTAACAAATACGCGGTGATCCGGATAGCGCTCCAAATTTGGATATCTTTCACGATAAAGTCTAGCGGCAGCACTTGCGTTACATCTGCATTCCCCATAAATGAGGTGCATGTTCGCATATTCTTGTGAAGTGTAGCGCGTAGGCATGGTAGATAATAAGGATGCCAAGACAAAAGTACAATTCCAAAAAGAGAAGCCAAAGTTGTCAGTACTAAATTAACACACGCGAATACCGAAAGGTGCGCAATAGACGAATGAGCTTGGTATGGCGTCTGTATCTGTTTAATTCGCACTCGGTTAAACGACGCATCTTCGTCTCAATGCGTGGCGTCACTATCTGTCTAACTCGCTTATGGCAAACATGTCCACTACCCATCTCTCTCATCATTTTGCCGTAAAATTAAGAACCTACCAAGAGCTTGTGCGAATAAAAAACATTTTAACTGAGTAAAATGGGTTAGCAAAAATCGGGTTACTTGAGTTTGGAGTTTGGGTTTTTATTTTTTTACTCGTTTTTTTTAGTATGAAACTAACAAGTATTGTACCATTTTACAATTCTGATTAAATGCGCTAACTTTTAACGGCACTTGCCAAGGCGCTCTAATACATTTTTTTTAAAGGAGGACCTTTCAAAGTTGACAAATTTTGAAAATTTTAAATTCATAGTTTAACAAATAGTCTTAATTCCAGGAAACTTGGGGCAATTGTGTCATTATTTTTGACTCTGATTCTAGAAATGTTATTTAGGGTTACGGTTCCAAAGTTTAAATGAACAAAAATAATAAAAATTAACCACAATAACCGAAAAATGATTACAGTGTGACCAAATTTTTAGGTTTTTCTTAAATGCCCATAATTTTCAAACTGCATGGGATAGTTTTTTTTTCTGATTTTTTTCATGATGGTTACAATCAATCCTGTCGCCCCGTTTCGGCTTGACGTTGAGTTCTGGGACACCCTGTATATTTACCCTTATGTTATATTATGTTAAATTGAATCTAAATCTGTCCAGTGGTTTTCTCGTGAAGCGTTCCCAGACAGACAGATAGGCAGAGAAAAGTTCTAAAAACTTTAAATTCGGCCTCTGTATCGATAATAATGGCTATTTCAATAAGATTTTCAAAGAAATATTTAATGTAAGATTGGACTCTGAATTTTATTATATGTATAGATGTGAAAGTAACATTGTCTATTGCCTTTTCACGCATAAACTGCTGAACAGATTTTGATAAAATTTGGCAAGGACAAACTGCATCCTGGGGACGGACATAGACTACCTTTCCCTGACCCAGTTACCCCACGAGTGAAGCCGCGGGCGAAAACTAGTTTGTTATATTTAGTTTATATTGTGATCAGTGTAGCATATTCATTAGCGATCAAAATCCCTAATTTAAGTAGCACAATAACTAACTAGATAAATAAATAAATATGTTGGGACATTCATACACAGCACCATCTTGTTCCATAGTAAGCTACGAGACTTGTGTTATGGATACCAGATAGTTGATACACTACATATATATAACTTTTAATACATACATATTATAAATATAAACACCCATGACTGGAATACAAACATTCGTGCTCATTACACAAATGAATTCCCCCAGCGGGACTCGAATCCGCGACCGCTGGTTCAATAAGTAGGGTCACTACAAACTGAGCCAAACGTGTCGTCAAGATACACTGTTACTTAACCGCACATAAAAATCAGTATCCAGTCTTTTGGAGCCATTCCAATACTTTGTCGAGTCGCTAGTTAGTCGTAGTAGTTTTATTGAAGTTGAGCCAATACACACAAAATTTATAGAGATGTTACTTATTTTGTCTTTCTACTGTCAGCTCAAGTAGCCAACTATATTTCTTAAATAAACAACTAAGAATTTGACGGAAGTTTAGAGTCAGGTAATATGAAATACTAGCATTACCCGCGGCTCCGCCCGCGTTCAGGTGACCAAAAACCAAATTCTTAGGTTTTACATATTAGTATACTATAATACTCTTACATTGCAGTTTTTGTATTTTTTCTCAGAAATGAGATATTTTCCCGCTGTAAAAAGTATCCTATATGTTGACCCGGATAACCAACTATCATCATACCAAATTTAATCAAAATCCCTCTAGTGGTTTTTCCGTGATGCGGTAACAGACAGTCAAAAATTCTAAATCTATTGATCCGGCCGGCCTCTGTATCGATAATAATGTCTATTGCAATAAGATTTTCCAAAAATAAATAATATACAGATTCGGCTTAGTTAGAATTTTATTATATGTATAGATTTTAAATTGTAATATAAATAGGTAATATTAAACATTACGTATAAAATTTCCTACTACAAAATAGTATCATATTTCTGAACCCTTCATTTATAGGCAATTCCTCATGCCTATATGTTAATTCTTTGGTGAAGGTAGCAAATTCGATTTTAGTTAAAGTATACTTTAGTTAATATTATAAATTTTAAAGTATAATATTATAAATACTATAACGTCATTGTTGCTATGTCCATCTTTATACAGGAGCTCGGTAATCTTATTTCTCACACACCTTTGTATGCCGGAGAGTTAAATAGGCTATTTTTTAACGTAATAATGGTTTATAATTCGATAAGTTTTATAATAACTAGCGGCTCAGGGTGAACTCAGGCTTCGCTTGTGTGAGTCTATAGAAGTAAATGGTTTATGCATGTAAAGAGATGGAGAGAGATATATAAAAACATCCAAAACAAATTTGTTTTTTTTTTCTGTCAAGAACCTTCCCGGGAATAAGCAGAACTCCTCGATCTTAATTTTATGTGTTTCATTGATTAATATCGGTGATCTAAATTTTTGTGGTTATCGGATCTATAATAATTAAGGCATGGAAGAAAAACTAAATTATACTTACTACTATTCTTTACAAAGCCAAAGCAAATAAATTTTAATGGTATATAATGATTACTTATATTTTTTTTAGTCGGTTTTGTTTTTTATTTTCTAGTCTTCACCAATTGTGAAGCGATTTTTATGATTCTTTTTTAACGAATAAGTCATACCTTAAGGGTTTAAATCCCAGAAATAAAAATAAAACAAAATCTAAATGTTTGTTGATCATACTTCGAAACAATTAAAATTCCTGTACTAACTAACAAAAGAGCTAACATAATTACATGGTTCATTGCAAAGCTAATAGAAATTTCATCTACGCAGGTTTATATGACATTTTAATTTAACAATTTTGCATAGCTAGATGCACGTAGCCATACAATGCGTTTCATTACATTGATTCAACGCCTCTCCTATATGGTTCTTCATTTGCGAACTAACCAAAAACATACCGTCATATTTATAATTTTTTTCATTTTAATTTGCTGTGATGGTAAAATTATTCGTGTGCAGAATTTAGATTTTAAATTCAATGGCAATCCTTCAGGTTTAAAACTGAGAGGTAACGTTGATGATAACTCTGAAAAAGATTTGAATATTGATAAAATTAAATGTGATATTAAACAAAATATTAATGAAACTATAACACCAAAAATTGGAAGCGAGATAGAAAGAAGAAGAAAAGGTGCTAAGTATGAAGTCATGACAATTGAAGATAAAATAAAAAATATTCAAAGAGAAATAAATAGAAACAAACCTTTCACTAGGACAACTGAATCTCTCAAAAGACTAACGAAAATTAGATTATTGTTGGAGGACATAAAGGTATTATTGAAAATGGAGACGGAAAAGTATAAATATAAAGATGAATTTAAAGAATATGTACCTTTTAGCGATGATATAAGTCATGCAGATTTTATTGCGCAGAAAAAAGCCCAAATTATGAAGGATGGCTTAGCGTTAATACCAGGACTGTAATGTATCGTTGTTTATTAATCATCATCATCAAATGTACGTGAAAATGATATATGGTTGTAAAAATTCTATTGATTTTTAAAATTTGTAGACATAATATTATTAAAGTTATAATAACATTTTAGAGAAATTTATTATAACCATTTCGATAAATTATGGTTCAAAATTAAATTATATAATAATTAAAAAATTAAATTCGAGATGAGAATAACAAATAGACTACATAGCCTGCATGTATGTCTCCATGATCCAATTTATGTTCTTCACAAGTTTCATCAAAATCTGCTCAGCGGTTCAAGGGGAAAAGAAGAAATTCTACCAAAATTGAACATAAAATATTTCCTTTATTCTAAATTAGTATACCAGAGATATTATTACGTATTACGAACACCTAAGATTAGTAATGAATATTATAATTTTATTTTTATTTTATTTATTAGGAAGCCTATGTTATATACTAAGAATACATTTCTTAACTTAATATAGTTATACATAAGAAAGTGTTACAAAGTATATCACAATTACAGGCTAACTTAACATGTAAATAATAATTGTTGAACTAAGAAAAAGGTTATTGCTCACTTATGTTCAAAAAAAAATAAGAAATGAAATAACTCTAACATTTAAATAACAAAATATCTGTGTAAAAAAAAGTTTTAACAAAAAAATGTAACAAAATTTTTATTAATTACATAAATGTAATATATGTAAATAATTGTATAAAGAATATCATATTTTATTATAATTTTAGATGTATTTATTTGTTCAAATAAAAGGAATATTTTATTATGTAAAAAGATTCATGTTTTAGTCACAAATCTTAAAATTTCATAATTATTGCTTCATCTAAAATATGTATCTTCCAAACTAAAGAGACTTTCAATTTTGTACTAAATAATTTATTAGCCAAGTAAGTGAGCCAACAGTTAACTACTGCGAAAATCAAAACACAATTCTTGTTTGGGATAGCTTTCTTTGTCGATTCGTCAATCACTGCTTAGTGAGTAGTGACCAAGGCTAAGTAGTTCGCTAGGTGATTGATAACTAAAACACCCCGACTGATAAACTATTCAAAAATTAGTCCCACCGGTAGCTGTGTAACAAAGGGTCAACATCCTCGGTGGTCTAGTGACTAGCTTGTGCGGCTGTAAACCTGGAGGTCCTGGGTTCGAGTCCCAGGTCGGTTTAAGTTTAGTTATTGATTTTTTCTGATAAGAAATTTTCAGTAAAGCCCGAAGTTAGGAAGCTGGCGTTGTTTCACCCCCGCGGCTTAGATAACACATAAAACCTGTACTGCGCATTAACTCTCACCAGTTGCGTCGAGTTGTCGTCCACTCGGAGTATGACATTGCCATCAAAAGCATAACCTGTGCACTCTGCACAGGTGTCTGCGTGAACAATTGTGAAGTATAATATCTCCTGCGCATCTGGCTAGTCTCAATTAAAATAGGAGGATATTATTATTTATTGAACAGTAAGTCAAACTAACAAAAAGAAAATTTTTGGCATTTATTATATATTGTAGAAAGGGTCAATGAAGAGGTGAACATACATCCATACATACAACACAGATGACATAATACTATACTAGCACATATAGTATGATCTCTCTGAAAACTTCTAATCTCTTTTATAAGATAAAAACATTTAAAATAAATGATTTTTTTCACAACTTAGGAACTTTATTGTTACAACTTTAGATAAAAAAAATTTAATTCCATCAAATAATTAGCCGTTGTAATAGTGAACATTTATCGTATTAAAAAAAACTGGCTTGTTTGAGTTTCGTTGAATTATACGTAGTAAGTGATGACACAAAATTGTTTTTGTCGAAAACGTTTACTTATTTACTTTTTACTTTTCCTGTTTATTATCCAATTAGAGACATATCCGTCCTTCGCTCAGCTGCTTCCCAAAGTGTAATAGTAATAAATAGTAATAAATGTATTACTCCAGGTCATATAATATCTTCTATCTTTGTATTAAATTTCATTCAAATCCGTTCAGCCTTTTCAGTGTAAAAGAGTTACGACCTTATAAACTAAATTATAATTATAAATCAACTAACGACTCACCCTCTCTTTGCTCGGGTTACTCTCTAGTTACGTTTTAACGTTTAGTATAGATTTCTGAGAAATGAGATATTTCCTATACATAAGATAATGGTGAGAACTCTGATAATTTCTTATACCTCACGACAACGGTTTAAAATCGGCCAAATTAAAGTCGTACTCGTGCACTGAAGGTTCACAGAATTTTTTTATTTTAGAAACAACGGACAAAAACTACTAAACAGTTTCATTAAGAAAGTGGCGTTATTTCACGATAAAACTACATTAAATTATTTTGCATCATTACTTTACAAGCCATAAAGTGCGTCCAGAAGCTTGTTAAATATGTATAGACAAATGAGAACGCTAAACGTATGCTTAACTATGAATTTAAATCAAATATTTACAGTATAGAGCTCGATGATGATAAATAATAAATAATAAAGAATTTGTAATTAAAAATTATAAAACATATTCATTTAAAAATTAATTTTGCTTCCAAAACTACATAAGTAATACTCGTACATCTGAATTGAATAACTTCTCTATTTGTCTATTTATGGCTAGATGTGGTTGTGTATTTTTGGTGTACTACTGAATTATTGTTTATTTCATTTATTGGCCGCAAAAGTGCCTATTTACCTGTGGTTGAGATAACAAAGCATTAAATCACGTTATCATTGTCCATATAACGGTTATATCTACGAAAATTAGATGTTTATTTGATATGTTGACGACACGTTTGCTCAGTTTGTAGTGACCCTACTTGCTGTGCCAGCGTTCGCAAGTTCAAGTTCCGTTGGGGGCATTAATTTGTATGATGAGCACGAATGTTTGTACTTTAGTCTTGGATGTTTATATTTATAATATGTATGTATTTAAAGTTACATATCGTTGGCTCACAATTACAAGGTTCTATGTAACAATTTTAGTACTTATTTAGTTATTAATGTTACAAGGTTTTATGTGTCATTAGCTACAGTTTTGCAAAAACAAACCACTAGATAGCGGCACTTTAACTACAAAATATTCAATTTTACATAGTTCTATGTTGATTTTTTTACGATAACAAAATAACGAAGTTCTATGTAAAAAATACTAAACTTTATTAAAATTAACATACAACCTTGTAATAGTGAGCCAACGAATTATGTGTAGTGTATCAACTATCTGGTATCCATAACACAAGCCTCGTAGCTTACCATAAAACTAGATGGTGTTGTGTTAATGTCCCAACATATTTATTTAGGTATAATAATTATTTCTACCTTGCGAGGGCAACACACAGTACAAAGTAAGCTATAGGCAGGTATTCGTAATCAGAAACGTATTCAAATAACTTTACAAGGTTAATTAAATGTAAATACTTATCGTGTTATTCGCTAATGGAGCCGCAATCAACCCACCTTGACGATTAATTACCCTTTTAAAGCGAGTCAATTTGAAACGAAACCATGGTTGTGTGGTTTCTTAGTATCTAATATCACATGTAGATTATCGTGAGTTAGACTGTGTCGAAATTTAAAACCTTTTATTATACTGAGGGCTTGTATCTATGAAAAAATTGTTTGGTCTATTAAATATATATACACATATAATAAAATTGTAACTTAGCCAAATCTGTACATTAAATATTTTTTGAAAAAGCTTATTGTAATAGTCATTATTATCAATACAGAGGCCGAATCTATACTTTTTAGAATTTTTGTCTGTCTGTCTATCTGTCTGTCTGTCTGTTACCGCATCACAGAAAAACCACTGGACGGATTTTGATGAAATTTTGTATGGTCGTAACTGGTTATCCAGGTCAATATATAGGATACTTTTTACCGCGGGAAAATATCTCATTTCTGAGAAAAAATACAAAAACTGCATTGTAAGAGTATATTAATTTGTAAAACCTAAGAATTGGCTTTTTTGGCATCTGAACGCGGGCGGAGCCGCGGGCAATGCATCGGGCATACTTACATAAGTATTTATATATATAGCGGTCTATTTGTGCGTATTCGCATTCATCATCATAATTTACCTGCCAATTTCCCAAATTACTTTAGATCGCACAATAAGTATTCCTCTTCAACTCTCCCCTATTACTTGTCAGTTGTCACCTCATCATTTACCACAATCTCTTTTATGTCTTGTCTCTAACAATCTATATATCTTATACGTATTCGCGTTATAATATAATAATTACAACTACAGTTTTAAAGGCAGTACTGTTTTTAAAGATTATAACAAAAACGAGGTTTAGCCTTTTTAATGTATGGAATGGGCTCAAGACACAAGAAAAGACTTTTACGGGAGGAATGTTTAATAAACATTACTTATAATTAAATTATTAAAATATCTAGAATTAAAACCAACAAATATTATAAGGTACTTTAGTGCTATTTTTGAATTTTTGAAATCTTTTTGTAAAATTGTTAGTAGGCACTGTCTGTAACAAGTATATAATGCCTTTGAGATGTCTAAAACTTTAGTCTCTCCCGTGACCATGATTACTGTAAGGCATTCGAAATGTCGGGAACTAAAAATCAAAAGAAATCCGCGAAATATTTCGAAAAGATAGTTTTATTTAAAATGTCAAATATTCGCGTAAATCTAATCATCCTTATATTTTGAATTTGAAAAGTCAATTAAAATTGACTTCCAAAATGATATTTATTACAACTGAAACAATCCAAAGCATGTTAAAAATATAATTTTGAATTTACCTATCTATACATTTAATAAAATTCTGAGTCGAATCTGTCCATTAAATATTTTTATTGAATTAGTCATTATTATCGATACAGAGGCCGAATCTTTAGTTTTTAAAAATTTTGTCTGTCTGTCTGTGACCGCATCACAAGAAAACCACTGGACAGATTTTAGTGAAATTTGGTATGATAATGGCTGGTTATACGAGTCAACATATAGGATATAGTTTTTATTATAATAGATTTTTTT